AAACAGTAACTGGACTCACCAAAATCGACAGCAAAAAACTCTTGTTTACATAAATGCCACGTAAATCCAGTGCGCAACACTTTGTTCGCTGTCCTCCACGATAACGTCCACCTTTCCATATTTTTGGTTTGAACACCAACGCATCGACATGTGAGGGAAGGAGGCTTGACCGCTTTCGGGTGACAGTGTTGCCTGCCAGGGAAAAAACCCTCTCACTCGGGGTGCTTGTGGCTGGAATAGCCAGGTAGCTCCTCGAAAGCGGGGGAAGCGGTGCACGTTTTCTGCCCACCACTCCAGTGGATTATCCATTGTGGGGATATGCGGTGTCCGCTGGCAGTAATCCCGTAGCTCATCATCCGCATCACTGTTGACCCGCGTTTTCTTGCTGTTCGTTTGCCTCTGTTCAGTGCTGACGCCGGTCCGTTGCTCACTGGTGCTAGCATTACTGCTAGTGCTAGCTGTCGGCAGCGGGTGTTTCATCTTCAGATGGTTGCACATAGCAGATGCATTTGTATTGTACTTCAGTACAGCTGTACACAACTGACACTTCACTGTGGAGTTGGTTACATCTTCGTTGAAGTACTGCCATACATAAGAATGTCGGACGTGTTTTGTAGCATTTTGCAGCACCTCGTTTACCTCCATTTTTTTCACGACCAGAATTAAAAAGTGACTAGGGCCTACAGCGCCGACAGTGCTAAAGGTAGTCGACTAATCGACTAGTCGACTTAGTTGGTGAAACCCCTACACTGGACCGGGTCATCTTGTGTTAATACCCTCTGGGTAAGGTTAGCAAGCCTTTTAGCTGGGATAGGACCCTGGGTCCACCTGTGCTTTAATACCTCTGGGTAGGTTACCAGACTTGATCTGTTTTTTTTACCACTGGACTGGGTACATTCAATCGTTAGTCTATGTGTTTTGAATGTGTGAAACGGCGTTGCCTGGTTTAAGAAAGCCTTTGAGAAAAGCATGTTAGTCTGTGTTGGTAAAGTGTCTATGAAACTTGGCCTTGTCTGGTTTACATTTTTAATTGAAGCCAGACTACCAAGTAAGTATGGTTTAATTTGTATTGAACTCAATTCCTCGCAAGCAGTGTGGTTTATTAATCTGCACATGTTGTGTTGTTCACATTGTTCTCTCTTCCTCCCAGGTCCACACTGAGGTTAATGCTAATACTGCTTAAAGCTTAGTTAGCTAGCCAGATTAGGCATTACTAGATGGTGAAATAGTTTAGTAACAGATACAACGTTAACTACTGATTCAAATACACAGTGATGGTGTAGATGAAACATTGAGAGTAGATTAACGTTGTTTTTGTTGTCACTGCTTTCAAAGAAAGTAATTTGAATTGTTATTAATTTAATGTAGTTTGTGTTAATAATTTCTACATCATGTTACCACCACACATGTGGTTTTATTTTTACAGTTAATATTTAAAGTCAGCCACCTCATGAACTTAGATCTCATCTCTGAGAGTCCATTGTGTTACATGGTTAAGAGGTCCTTTTTGTTAGGGTTCTGGGAAAAGGAGGACCCAAAAGCAGATTACAAAAAAAAGGCAAAGGTCTACCAGAATCAAAAGGCGAGCTTTATTTCAAAGCCGATCAGCCAAAATAGAGGTAACACAGGAAAATACAATACCCAGAAACCACAGGTCGTGACCAACATGGAGGAAACAGGAAAAAATAAACAATGAAGAAACACGAAACCGGAAGAGACCAAGACTAAAACAGGGGAAAGGGGTAATCACCGAGACGAGAAACAGCCGGGCCAAGGGAAGGAGAAAACCACAAAGGGCAACAGGGTGAACGACAATCAGACAATTAGACAGCCAGGGAACTAACGACAGGGAGGAAAACACAGGGAGAAGGACCAGCAACAAGAACAAGGAGGAAAAACATGACCAGGGAAGAACAGACACAGCAAAATAACCCCACAACTAGACAGCAACAAAACTCAAACCCCTGACATAACCCACCCCCCTCCAACGGGACGGATTCCAGACGTCGCCGACCAAGTAAAACCATTCCAACTGGGTGGGTGGAAGGGGTCCTGAGGACGGGTCTGGATCGACAGCCAGGAATGGCATAAGTTTCATTGAGGGGTTTTCTCGGGCGGACGGCCCGGGGGCCTAGGCACGAGTCCATGGAGGGGGGTCTCGGCCGTGGCTGGGGAACTC